ATCACTGGGTGACCAACATTTTCGGCTTTAGGCCACAACTCATCGACGCTTAGTAAAGCACTATATAGTCTGATGAGTTAATATAGCTGGAAGCATGTCATAAGTTTCCTTGAAATATCAGCCCTTTTCAGCTTCTACTCTGGAGTGACCATTCTTGAGAGTCATCTTTCAGACAGCTTGCTCATCTTCATATAGTTATATTTATATTGAAATATATACATGCCTTTATATTTATGTATTTGAAACACACACACACACACACACACAACACACACACACACACACATATATATATATATATATATATATATATATATATATATATATATATGTCGTGTAATTGATTGGGGGTTGTTGTAGCTTCTTCCTTTAATGTCGGTCTTATACCTAGAGACGAGACGCGTTAAATTTGAGCAACATCCAGCCGACACACTGGGGTTAAAAATAGGAAACTAAAATGATACATATGACACACTCATATCCTCTCTCCCACCTCACTTCCTCACTTCGTTAATTTTACGTATACTTGATGAGGTCCGTCAAAAAAACGTGTGAATTTCTTTTCATTTTCATTTCAGCTTTTTGGAAGTAAAGTCTGATGATCCAGAACCCTGTTAAAGGGGTTATGGTGAAATAGCTTATTACATGGAATCTTAACGTGGTCTGTTTTTATTCAAAATATATATATATATATATATATATATATATATATATATATATATATATATATAAATTACCCTGATTATCGCTCTAGCGTGAAACTAGAGTAGTGCTCTGAAATTTATCTCTATTTTCAGTCGTGTCGCTGTGTAGTTTTACTCTATCTTGGTCATTTAGACATAGAGCACTTTCTCTTACTATTTAGGTAGGTGTCTACATTCTCAGTTTATGTTTCAGTTTTCTATTTTTATCGTCTTTTCATGGAGTTTGATTTATTGTTTTCGCTTTTATTAAATTCTTATTTTCTTTTTTGTCAAATGAAAGGCTTCATGATGATTTAAACAACAAACACACACACACACACCTATATATATATATATATATATATATATATATATATATATATATATGTGTGTGTGTGTGTGTGTGTCCCCTATGTTGAAAACTTTTAAAACCTCTACCCTTTATAGTTAAAAATAATAATTCACCTCCTAGAACAAAATTAAATAGGGCAAATATTATTTACGAATTTAAATACCCATTAAGGAATTGCATTTCTGATCAATTAAAATTCGTAAATAATTATATAGGCCACACAACAACATGTTTGACATGCAGACTCACTCTACAACTTTCTAACCACAGCTCAATTAGATCTCATTTAAATATTCATGGAGACCTACCGGACACTATTCGTAACATTCTTGTTGACAACACTAATATAATAGTATCATCTACATGCAAAAAAGGTTAAAAATAATGGAAAACTTATTAATAAAAACAAACAAAGCAACACTTGATAATATTAACTTTGAACATGAACATAATATCTTGACCGTGTTTTGAAAATGAAAACATTTTATAAAACATACATACAAAAAACTATTTCTTATTTTAACAGTTAAAATATAATCCTTGAAAATGGCTAAATGTATAGCCGAAAGCACTCGGATAAAAAGAACATTCGGACAGGTTTTATATAATTTATCATCCGAAAGGAAAAACATTATTATATCTCATAAAAAATTGTATAAAAAACTAAATAAAAAAAAAACACTTTGACTGTCGCTTTCAATGAAATGTGCATGAAAGAAAGATCGCTTCCTAAATACACAAATTTTAAATACATATATATATATATATATATATATATATAGGCTCCTGAAAAATAAATTTCAGTTGAGCTCTTTGGGGAGGAGGTGTGGGTTGGTAAACAGTGACTATTTATAGCAATATAGCGAGACTCTTCGCAAAAGCGAATTGAGTCACTGTCGGTCACTGGGCGTGTTTTTAAAAATAATTACGCTAAAGTCCACCCGACGGCTTAATGGTTAGAATCTCCGACTGACACCAATTAAGTCGGGTTTCGATCCTAGCTACAGGCAACCGGATGTCTAGCAACACTGATGAGCTGTAAACAGCGAAACAGTCTGTCTGTGGATGACGTTATATATATATATATATATATATATATATATATATATATATAATGGAATATGCATACACCTGAGTTCCCCCTCACTGGACTATGATTAGCTGGTGTCCGTCATAAATACAGACGGACGTGTAGGTACGACAGAGTTTAAGTCTATGACGACGCCCATTGGACTACGCCATTGGCTATCCTATTGGTCTATACTTATTACCTGCGACTACGACGAGTACCAGTTGATTACTGCTACCATGTACTACTTGGTTACAGTAGCCAAAACCACATAGCTACTTCGATCAAATACATCCCTTTCCGGGACATATCAATATATATATATATATATATATATATATACGAACATAGAAGTTATCATGATATGATTACGATTTTACAGTTTATATAATAATATCGAGTGAAACAACAACAAAAGAAGATTTACTTTAATATGACATTGCAACTAAAGATAGGAGAAACATAAGAGGAATATTGAAGATAAAGATGTGATTTCATCTCAAACTAGATCCACTCAGTCCTACAGGCAACAATAAACTCCAGAATATAATTAAAATAGTTAAATGAAAAAAGAAACAAATAAGAATAAAAATAGAAGAGACGTATGTAGATAGATATGAACGAACTGAGATAGCAAGAAAAGCTCGGTAGCTTGAAAGATAGCTGGCTAGCTTCCGATATATATATATATATATATATATATATATATATACGAACAGGCCGATATATGTCTACAAATAAATAACTAACAGCGGGGAACGAGGGAGAGACAGAGAAAGAGAGATAGATAGATAGATAGATAGATATGAACGTACTGAGATAGATAGATAGATAGATAGATAGATAGATAGATAGATATGAACGGATTGAACACATATATATATATATATATATATATATATATATATATACAGAGAGAGAAAGAGAGTGATAGATAGATAGATAGATAGATAGATAGTGAAGGGACATCGATAGATAGATATGAAGAAATGAAAGAGAAAAATAGATAGATAGATAGAAAGATATGAAAAGACTGAGACATATATATATATATATATATATATATATATATATATATATATATATATATATATATATATATATATATATATATATATAAGCTTCTCAGACTATATGAAACGAACTTACTTAAAATACATGGACAAAACTTATCTATATTATTTAATGAAATATGCAAGATAGATAGATAGATGTGAAGGCAATGAGATAGATAGATAGATAGATATGAACGTACTGAGATAGATAGATATTGAAATATATCGGATTATATATACATATATATATATATATATATAGAGAGAGAGAGAGAGATAGATAGATAGATAGATAGATAGATAGATATGAATAGACTGTGACAGACTTTTAGTGTCTTCACCTTTTTAGCCTCATCTAGTGCGAGCCACTGGCTATATTCGGTGGTGAAGGACCTAATTCTATCCTTAAGTCTCTCCCACCACCTATTCCAAATAACCGCCCCAGCTAGTTCACGCTGCACTAGTCTAATTAGCTGCTGTTCCGCCTGTCCAGCCATTCTAGGCCTAGCATCTAACGCTATCCGGGCACAGACGAGTCTATGGTCCGAATAGCCTAACCAGTGAAAAGTTGGACAATCTAGAAGGTCTACATCGCCCTTCTTACTAACATTCTATCCAAGTAGCTGACTGCCTTGGGAGACGGCCACTTACGAGTCCATGTCCACATCTCCCGGCCCCCGGGGAGGGGGGATCGACTCGGTATCTATCGACGAGACCGAACTCGTCGATCAGATCAATCAGGATACGATCACCCAATGACCTCCTGCTAGCTCCCCGCCCCTTGTCTATCTTAGGTCCAGGATGGCATCCAGTCCTCCACTAAGATTAAGTGCGAAGAATCGAACAGGAACGGCTACAACTGACGAAAAAAAGAGACACGCTCCCCGTGATCGATGGGCGCATTACCTGCAACGATCTGAAACAAACTACTGTTCATGGCAATATCAGCCACGATCAGCCGACGTGGACAATGTCCAGCCTCGCATCCAGAGTACGTTTAACCTGCAAGTAAACACCTCTGGCCGGTTGGTCCACGTATGCTGAATAGACAACATAGTCGCTAGACAGCACACGCGCATCAACCTCGCAAGCAAAGTGCATGTCCTGGATTGCAGCTACGTCTACGCCGAAGGACAAGAGATCACGAAGCAGAGGGGCGGCCTTACTCCGATCCCTCAATCGCCTCGCATTCAAAACTAGCTATCTTGAGAGACATTTTTCAAGTTGATTCCCCTACTCACAGACTGGACGTAAATCTGCGAATGAAAGGACCCTGACGGATTGTCTCAGCTTCCCTGTCCCCAACTCTGTCGTCATGCGACCATCTCAGACAATACTGCCAACGTGCGAGGGGTACGTTAGTTTTAATGTCCTGCATAATGAAGGATGGAAAATTACTGGGACCCTCACAGCACAATATTCCTGTAGCTTTCTCAGTTCTGGAGTTCCTATTTCCGCCATACGGATCTTCGGAAAGGCATCCTTCGTCTCGTGTAGGTGATCCCATGCTATAAGATTTTGGCCTATGCTTTTTATCCATGTTATTACGTCAGCGGCCTTGCGGAAATTTCTGGGATCTTCTGTAGCAAGTCCATCTACTTACGCATCTTTAACAAGGGTTTTAACAAAACTCTTTTTGTTTCGACATGCCCGCATATATTGCCTGCTTGTCCACACAGCATGACATTACCCCACTCGGGAATTTCTTCTTAAGAGAAGAAGAAATGTGCTGGGAGGTGCTGGGCATTGGGGATTTACTTGGCATTGTGCTGGTGGAAAGTGGGGGTGTTGGGAGGAGTAGAAATGTCATCTGCTGCAGTGGTATTGGGAGGGGGTATTTGATGAGGAGATCTATTGCGAATGGAGGACAGTGGTGCTTTCAAAGGGGAAGAACGAAGGCTTCTTGTGGTATTTTCCTCAGGCTTCTTGACCGGCGAAGCCGGGTGAGATTAAGCCTTGGTGTTGGTAAAGTCTTTGGCGGCTTCAGCCCGCTTCTCTTTTTGTTGAACATTTCCCACTTCTTCTTCTTCTTCTTCTTCTTCTTCTTCTTCTTTTTCTTCTTCCTCCTCCTCCTCCTTCTCCTTCTTCTTCCTCCTCCTCTTCATTCCTCCTCCTCCTTCTTCTTCTTCTTCCTCCTCCTCCTTCCTTCTTTCCTTCCTTCCTTCCTTCCCTCCTCCTCCTCCTTCTTCTTCTTCTTCTTCCTCCTCCTCCTCCTTCTTCCTCCTCCTCTTCCTTCCTCCTCCTCCTCCTTCTTCTTCTTCCGCCTTCTTCTTCTTCTTCCTCCTCCTCCTCCTTCCTTCCTTCCCTCCTCCTCCTTCTTCTTCTTCTTCCTCCTCCTCCTTCTCCTTCCTCCTCCCTTCCTCCTCCTCCTCCTCCTTCTTCTTCTTCGCCCTTCTTCTTCTTCCTCCTTCCTTCCTTCCTTCCTTCCTTCCTTCCTCCTCTCCTCCTTCTTCTTCTTCTTCTCCTCCTCCCTCCTTCCTTCCTCCTCTTCTTCCTTCCTCCTCCTCCTTCTTCTTCTTCTTCTTTCTTCTTCTTCTTCTTCCTCCTCCTCCTCCTCCTTCCTTCCTTCCTTCCTTCCTTCCTCCTCCTCCTTCTTCTTCTTCTTCCTCCTCCTCTTCCTTCCTCCTCCTCCTTCTTCTTCTTCCGCCTTCTTCTTCTTCTTCCTCCTCCTCCTTCCTTCCTTCCTTCCCTCCTCCTCCTCCTTCTTCTTCTCCTCCTCCTCCTCCTCCCCCTCTTCTTCTTCTTGCTCTGGTTGGGGACTCTCATTCTGCTTCTGCTGGAGGGAAGTGGTTGTACTTTTGGGTCACTTCTTGACGACTTCCGTCCACTCTCCAGTTTTCTTGTTTGCCTGTGCTGTTGCCTGTGATGTTGCTGCTTCGGTTTTGTTTTGGTGGGGTGGAATTTTCAGGCAGGATTTTGTCCCGGGCAAGCCTTCGGCAAATGCCCCGCAGCTTCACAAGCCCAACAAAGTGGTCGACGACCCGCCACAATGACACCCTCATACATTAACGTGTTGGGTATTTCCGTAAATTGCTTTCGATTTAATGTAATTGCGATTTCAATACTTTTGATAGGGCAAACGTCGGAGACGTCCCTATATTTAGAAAAAGAAAAAAAAAGAACACAAGATGGTTTTCAGATATGAAGAGTGGCACCCTATGTAGAGTCAAGTTTGCCTTTCTCGTCCCCATGTATTTTGTCTGAAGCCTGACTGTCGAAGTAGTTAGAATACAGCCTGCCAGCGTTTTGTTTTTCTTTTCTGTCGGCAATAAGATGCCCCACATTGACCTACTTTTTCTTCCTAGAATTTGGGCTGTAATTTGCAGATTTTTCAGGGCCTCCTCCATCAATTCCCTATTCACGATATTTAGTTTCCGGGTCTTGGGGTCCGTTGTTAATAACGATATTGGCCTTGGATTCACCGTGTCCAATATAGACAGCACCGGTAATGACTCATTTCCATTAACATATGGATCAAGCTTCTCTTTTAAATTTTTTAAAATATTCTGGCCCTTTTTGTGGGGGCCTTTCCCTTGCCCATGCCGAAGGAGTTACTTCTGTAGGGGAAGCAGGAAGAGATTCGGGCTCCGACATGATGTCAGTCTACCCTCGTCATCCCAACAAAATTCGACGAATAAGACGACAAAGAAATGCAACAATGGTGAGAGGCAAACAAAAATAACACTTACTCCGAAGAATATCCAACGAAGACTATTGTTCTGTTGTAATACTTCGGTCGATCGCCTGGTATATCGTCATAAAAATCGCATATTGAATATAGGATCTGCGTCTGTTATTCTGGGATCGTTATCATCGTATAGCAACTTTCTCTGTCAAAATATTAAAACGTCGTCTTTGACGGTGAATATCTTTGTTTCATGTCTATATAAGCAATCTGAAGATGGCTCATGTGAGACGAATGCTTAGAACAACCTTAAAAAAATATCCAAATCTTGGACAGTTTTTGTCTTTATTTTCACCCGAAATTAAAGCAAATATTCGAATATTAAAACGGCTCATGATCAGACATAATAGACATTTGTTTATATATATATATATATATATATATATATATATATATAAATTTTCAAGAGGAGAGAATCCAGGTAGAACTCAATGTCCAAGACAGAGCAAGAATATAACATAAAAGGTTCAAACACTAATATTCCGTGGTTATAATTTATAACATTAGAATCGTGATCATCTTTTTGAATTTGTAAGTCAGATGAATTGGATTGTGATAAATTATCACTATGGAATATTAGTGAATTAACCTTATATATATATATATATATATATATATATATATATATATATATATATATATATATATATATATATATATGGATAGAGAAAAACGCCTTATCAGACGGTGGTTTCTCTTGCAAAGCAGGACACAGGGTCGAATCGTCTCAGGTGGTAAATTTTCTTTTGGTAAGTTTTACGAGTGGCCAGACCGGTAGATGTTATAAATAATGTTTAAGATAAAACGGAGGATCTACACAAATACGGTATTCACTAAAATTTAAGGTTTGATAATATAAATATATATATATATATATATATATATATATATATATATATATATATATATATATATATATATTTAAATAAAAAGTAAGAACAGTAAGATATGTAATCCGGTGTTCTTATTGATATTTTTATCTTTTACAAAATAGTGCTCAATGTAAATTTACAGAGCTTTAATATTATTATAAATTAACTGATTTAAAATATATTTTTTCGCTACACAGTAATAAACATGTTTCAAAAATCAATTAATTTATAATATAAATATATATATATATATATATATATATATATATAATTGCACATATAGTGCTGGTGTTAATATAAAAGATGTATTAAGTATATATTAATAAATATACAGTAACGCCTCAACGGTCGGTGGAACGACTCGTAGTTTTATGCACAACGCAATCTTCAGGTGATGAGGATGGACTGCCCGTTACGCAATTTGAATTTTAATATATCTGGTTATCTCAGTAGTTATATATTATGTTGGCGTTACAGTTTTTTAATTTAAAAAAATATATTAGAGAATTAAAATAATGTAATAAAAAAACAACTTTTTTGGTTTAAACTTGCTGATAAAAAAGGATTCTTTATTAATATGCTTTTGTTCTGTGTTTTTTTAGTCGTATTGGAAGTTGATTCTCTGTGTCGTGCCAGTTTAAATGAGAACAAATGGAGTATGATTCCACTGTACATAACGTAAGTATTATTTATTTATTTATACTTTGAATTTGATAATACTTTTTCTTATAATAATAACCAGTAGACCAGTTCACTTTATATGGCGCTATTTCTACGCTTCGCATTGATGTAATATTGTTTTGTATTAATGTTTGGTTAGTATTATTAACATCTTGTATGAATGTACAGGTGTTTAGTTGGTAATATTAACATCTTATATGGATGTTTTTTATTTAACGGTTGCATCTTAATTTACCAAAGTAGTTCTGTATTTTTGATCTGCTTTTTTTTCAGAACGGTTAAGTTTCTTAAAGGGGTCTTTTATTTATTTATCAACTACAAAATTTTATATAAGAAGATTAATGAACATATAAGTGGCTAGCGTTACGTTAAATTACTTTCGTTTTTGCTTCTTGGTAAGTTTAACGTCTGATTTCGATACAACTTATGAAACAATGTAACAATTTGTATCTGCCTTTAAGGAAATTGTCTAAATTTATATGCAGAAAAGTTCGTGTCATGACCTATATTAAAAGAAAATTTTCTGGTGAATTTGAATTTAGCGTCGGTGACATTCGATTGGTTAATCACGTTAAAGCCACAAGTCTATTTTTAAAACTATTCTGCTTTTTGAAATCAAATTAATATTTTACTCGCCAGTAGTTTAACATAACCTGAAGAGACACATTTAGAGTGTTGAAACATGATTGTAATTGTGTCAGAATTTTTTATAACATGTTTTAATATCCTAAAATAAATAATTATATATATATATATATATATATGTTATTACTTCAAACGTTATTATTATGCCATTTTTTATTTGTAAACAGTGTTTAATATCTGTATTAACCTGAACTCTCGAGAAATCTTAATAAGGAAAATGCGGTATTTTCATATATATATATATATATATATATATATATATATGAAAATATCTGATATATCTGCTGGAGACCGCATTGTCTTTATTAAGATTTCTTATATATATATATATATATATATATATATATATATATATATATATATATATATATATATATATATATATATATCTGTGTGGGGGTCAGTGTGTGCTTGTTTGGGTGTTTGTGTGCTTGTGTGCTCCTCTGTATCTGTGTATGCATTCATCTAAGAATAAGTGAACCTGTAGGAATGTTGCCAGTAAACGAAAGTTTTAAACAAAGCCGATTTTTCTGTTCTGATATTGATAAAAATTGCAAATTTTTTTTTTTTTAATTTTTAACGTCTTTTTTGGTTGGTAAATTTTACATATAAAAAAACAAAAAAAAAAAAAAAAAAAAGGAAAAGGACCCCAAAACAAAAATAAACGAAGAAAGTTATTTCAAAAATATCTTTCCCAAAAAATGTATCATCCCAAAATAAATGTTCTCATTTATGTTAATGGGGGATTTCTGGAAAAGAAATTATAATTTTTTCACTTGAGAAAGACATTAATGCAACTCTTTTCTCTCAGCTATGCGGCCTTAAATAGCAAGGTAGACTGGATTTGGGTAGCAACCCGTCTAAATAGGAAAAACGTTAAATGGGGAATCACTTCACTTTCCCAAGAAATCATGAAAATTCACAGATAATAAAAGAATCTGTAGAGTGTTATGCTTGGTGACATCTTAAGGCACACGGTATAAAAATAACGATTTTTGACAGTGATGGCAGCTATATATGTGACAAATCCCTTTACCCTAGACCTTGTATAAGTGTCAGCCTAAAAACAAATGTCTCTTATGATGCGTATTCGAACAAATAGTAATTTGCGTTTTCTTTTTTGGTTGATCTAACCTCCAGTCTAATTTTACACCGTAAATTCGTTGTAGGTAGAGAAATAATTCACACATTTTACAGTTGAAATTGCTAGGTGTAACCTAAGTTCTGTTGTGGAAACAAAGAATGAATAACCTGGAAGGCAGAACTTGTCGCTGTTGTTGTTTCTGCTGAAGAGGTTAATTTCTTCTTCATCTCAGCAAATTCGTGGAAGAAGGAATACGTCGTATTTTGGGTAAATAAATGTATAAGTTATTTACATATATACAAAGCCAGCATACTACTCGTTGTTGTTGTAAATGGCGACAGAGTGGGGAAGGAAGAAAGAAAAGGAAAGAATATTGGTCATGGTTGTCGGGTGATGTTTTGTGAAGACGGTGGAGGCAAAGTTTGAAAGTTGATAAGTATCGGGTTCAGTCTCAGTCATGTCATTCATCGATGTATGCAGACACATATATGTGTCTGCATACATCGATGTTTGCGTTAGTACGATGAATGACATAAGCGACGAAGTTTCCCCCACCACTTCCACAATAACACCAATACACGCAATCTACATAAACCCAAATTTTTTAAAACATTAATCAGTTTGTCTGACGATCGCTAAAGCGTGAAACCCAGGGTCACAAACTCACATCTATTCAACCAAATATGTTAGCTCTATCTCTGATATTGAGCGCTTTCTAATAAGTACCGCATATAATATATAAATAATTATACATATATATATTTATTTATATTTATATACACTTTCACACACACACACACACACACACACACACACACACACACACACACACACACACATATATATATATATATATATATATATCGGTTTAAAGATAAATTCATTAAATTTTTAGAAATTACTTCATATATGTGTGTGTCTGTGTGTGTGTGTGAAACGATTTCTAAAAATTTAATGAATTTATATTTAAACTGATATTTTTATTACTTCAAGCGTTATTATATACCTATCTACGTTTTTGCTAGA